CAGTTTCCATCATCATTATCATTATCAGCCACTTCCCCCACTCCCTATTATCATTAGGCATGATGATGATTACATGGTTGAGAGCCCCCCCCAGCTGCAGCTCCATTCTAATGGTTCACCTTGAGCAGAGGAGTATTTCTCCTGCTATGTCAAGGTTAGATACCTCGAAATGAAAACTAAAACTTGCACAAATAACGTGGAATTGTTCTCTTGTTGCTGTGAGAGATTTTTATTTCATGGCAAGCATCGGCTGGAGTCAAATTGCTTGTATTTTCGATAATACTTGGCAATAAAGTTTATGCTCATGCTTATTTACTTAAAAACCAAATCCTTAAAAATGTATATCCGCTCATCTTACTGTCACAGTATTATTCCTCATTCATATTGAATTTGTAGATTTGTTGTATTTTATTTCATATCACTGCAGGTTTTTGAGCTGAAAGTAAGAGAAATGATTTCAAGTCTGTGAATCAGAGGATGAGAGAGGCTGCCTTTTTGTGAGAGTATGCATTTGAGATCCAGGATAGTGGGAGGGCTGGAGAGATGTGAATCCACACAATGATTTGGCTTTGAGGTTGAGAAAGAGACCTCTGTTTAGCCTTAGTCAGTAGGAGAAATTGGTCACAGCTGGATTTCACCGGTCAATTGGTATCTTGAGGGTGCTCTCTGTTTTTGTAGGTCTGACTCATTAATCCAGCTTTGCTAGTCCATGCACCTTTATACCCTCTCATAAGTATTTATCTTGCTGGTGGACATTCAGCAATTCCCCCAATACCTAAATGCATGTGTTAGAGCTGCGTGACCTCAAAGGACTCAGAGTACCACGTACAACCCTGCACTATGTTTAGCATCTTTGTCATGTTGGAACATTCCTTTCCTGCCAAGCTTCTTGAGACTGGGAGTCATCGTTTCATTCAGTCTCTCAGTATACACACTTGCATTTAGATTGAATACCTGTTTTTTCGATGCAGTTTATCTAATATGTTTTTTTTTTAATTACACATCAAATGCCATACACCACAACTTAAAAATAATACAGTAAGTCAGTACATTTTCAGATGACATTTTGGAAGGCATTCAGATTCCTTGACTTTTGCTCATTTTATCATGTTGTAGATTTAATGTATATATATTTTTGGAACAAGCGTGACTGAGTCCTCCTCAGAATCCATCACCTTTAGACAAGCTGGCAGCTCTCCAGCAGCTCAGTCCTCAGTGTGAGTTCCTGAGATGGAGGACAGGCCACATGTTTGCAGGCAAATTGCACATTTGAGGGAATAAATTACCTCGTAGAGGGCCAGACTCCACATTGTCTGTTCCACTCTGTGTTCCTTTACCTTTAAATATGTTTGTTGAAGACCTGTCATCTGCACTTTCTTTTATTTCTTTTCAAGCCCCGCTCATTTTATGGTGTCTGGTGGCGGGGCTCAGCCGGATGGTCTGTGTCCGGAAGTGAACATGTGGTAGTGTTTAACTTTGTAATGCCCTGGGTTTTATGGACGTCATGAGGGAGATATCACATGGAAGGCAACCAGGATAGTGATTCTGGGCCAGCATACAGAGTGGATGTCCAAGTGTTGGAGAACTCTTGTTATCACAGGGCTTCCCCTGGGTATACCTCAATCCAAGGCCCACAGAGTTGGCTTAACTTGGATGCCAAGTCATCTTTAATAAGCCAAATCTGTTTTTGCTCAAACATTCATGTATTTTTTCAATGGAACCTCTATCAATTTGGTGACTCCTCTTGGCATGGAGCAAGCTTTAACTCCCCCTCAGTTAATTGAATGTGTAACGTTTACAATATTTTCACCAGAGACTTCTCTTCATGTGGTTTTTCTGGCTCCAGTGAATCTTGCATGTGTTTTATTAAGACACGATTTTGAAACACTTCCTCCTTGACATGCTTGTCAAAGCTCTTCACCCTTCAAAGTTAATATATTACAACAAATCAGTGAGAAATACTAACTGTTTATAATTCATTGGTGCATTTCCCTGTTCAATCCACATGGCCAATATCAAGTCAAAAGTATCTGACCCTGTTATTTCCCTTAGAGGACCATCTGGCCCAAGAATCAGCTATGTGGAAGTTGAGCTCTGCATAATAAGAGTTGGTGCAAAGCTTAGAAGTCATTGTTTATATTTCAGTCAATTTTTTCCAATTTTTCATGGACTGAGTTTGTCAGGATAAAAACGCATTACTCTCCCGGCCCTCAACCTGCTCCATTCAACAACAATTAATCAGTTATTTTTCTGTAGGTATTGGTTTGATGTTAAGATGATATCATTATGTATTGACCTGACAGTCTGATAGAGGAATAATGTATCTCTATGCATGCAACTTTGTCACCATTGTACAGTGGCTTCAAGGAAACCAGCAAGCTGTCAAATATCCTTCCACATGCCCATCGCAAATATCTCTTCACTGAGTGATTGCTTGGGAGATTCCATTAACAAATATAAATCTGTCCAAGAGGGATGGCATTGTTGTCAGAGCATTACATTTTAGCCATTGGGCAACTAGTAAAACACGTTTAAATATTGGCAGGGACTTTGATCAGCTGTTATGGACCTACGCTGTTGGACAGGTTAAGCTTTCTTGGCATAAAAACACCATTAACTAAACATACATTTCCAAAGTTTCCAAACTTTAATCAAAATTAACTTGCCCTAAGTCTGACGCCATGTGGACGGTGTGATTTTTTGTAACTGCTGAGGCATACTTGTGTTTTGGAGACATTTATAAAACCTGTTTTGTTGTTGTGGCCAACCATCTGGTTGAAATATGCCACCTATAGTCATCCTCTCCACACACCTGGGACTAGAGTGGCAGCATGAATGTGTGCAAGTCCTCCAGGGCCCATTAGTCCACATGCATTGCTCAGAGGAAACATGTGACATGTGGCATAATGGAGTCAGCCAGCAAATAATGTAGCAGAGATCAGCAAACTGATGCCTTTACTCAGTGCCCAGTGGGAGAGCTCTGAGCTGAAAAGCATGGTATCAGAACTGGGAATAAGCCGGTTTTATATTATTAAAGGCAGTTCTTTTTTTTTTTTTCTTTAATTTGAGATGGCATGGGGCCCTATGGGTAAGGGCGAAGACAGCAGAGGTACTGACGAATGGGCTGAAAGCACCCTAGGTGCCTAAGTGAGAGATTCAATTTAATTTGTCTGCTGTCTGTGGGCCATTCTATTAGGGGAAGCATAGTTTTCCATGTCTAATTTTTGCTGGCTCCTCAGTTTCTTTGTCCAAGCCTTTTGCCACATATGAAATCCAGCATGATTCCTGGGTTCTTGTTGACTCAGTCTATGTGATTCAGGGTATTGTGGGTGTAATGTTGTTGTTTTTGGATTTATTTATAAGGTGATTATAATTTTGTGTGTGTGAGTGTGTGTATTTGATGCTCTTGGAGCAGATCGGATTGCTGACATTTAAATATGAAAATATATATATTTGCCAAGGTCAAAAGCATCGTAAAGGTCTAGCCCTGAAAATAAGTTTATAAAATCATGCTTTTGTTGAAAGTAGATGAATACATTGACATTACACCTGTAAGCAGTTGAGAACCTACCCCCCTTTACTCCTAAGTAACAAATCCAAGCAATGATTTTACATTGTAATTGAATGTCAACTTGCATTTTCTCCACTTTCAATCTGTATATTGATCAGTACTTAGAAAACTGGACACTGTTTATGCATTGATCCAGGAATTAATTTATTAGAAGACTGGTCAAGTATTAATGAATCTTGTCAAAGACTAAAGCAAAACACAGTCCACTGAAAGTCATGAAACAGAGAAAACAAAGTGTGTGGGATTGCAATTATCTCAGCCAAGCACTGAGCAAGGCCGTGTCATCAGTACCTCTACATTATTTTCTGCCTGACTGTAAAGTGTCCTTTAATGGTCCTTAACTTCGTATTAATTGGCTATGACCTCCCAAGCTTCTGTTAACAAAAAAGGTCAAGCCTTGTCCACTGTGTACGTCTGTGCTCCACTGAGTATAAAGGTGAATTAGCCTGGTGTGTGTTTGTGTGTTGCACTCAGAGTGTACTTCTGAGTTAGAGTGCAGACCTCTATAAGCTTTTAAAGGAACATCTTCAGGCACTGGCAGAAAAGCAAACTATAATACTCTATCTAGCATTGGTATATATGCAACCTCTTAGCACTACTTAATAAAGTAAACAACTGCATCCCTGATGCCGTGTGTTGACAGCAACCACTGGTGTTAGACAGATGCCTTCAGCGTTGCTTCTTGTGACTGCCCAGGAGATGTTGCCTCTTTGATTGTTTCTTCAAATATGCAAGCTAGTGCTATGGGAGCAGATTATTTGTTCTAGAGTTCCTGGGAGACTCCCACCTTGGGCTTAAACAGAGCGGTTGTGATGATTAGCAACAAAGTATGCTGCCTCTCCCATAAGCCACTGGGAGAAGAGGAATAGGTCTCATATTGCTGCTTCTTTAATACAGAAAATTCAGCTCTCTCACATTCTTCTTTCACCCTCACTCCTCCTCAGTATCGCAGTTCCAGTTAAAAAAAAAAAAAAGCTGACCTTTTGTTCTGTACATGGACACCTATGTTTTTCAACAAAGTTGATGTTAGTGAAGTGTAAATGAAGAGTAATACATCATGACATGTGGTGCTTCCCCAGTGTGCAGACTTAATAATGCCTTCATTATGAAAACAAAGGTCTCTTCATGCTTGGACCAATTTGCCGGGTGTGTTCAGTCACGTAACAGGGATTTAATGCCATTTTCTGGGATCATTTGGGGGGGTTGGGGTAACACAATTACTTCTGTGGCTCTAGCAAGTTGACAGACAAGGCCTAAGGGAAGGAGCTCTGCTTATCAACCATCTACCCACTGTCACAATGATACACAAACAAACAAATGAAGAGGAGAAAGTCATCCAGAGGACCTGTACAGTCTTGTTATATTGCAATATAATTTCTGAAATATCAACATAGTAGTTATGAAAGTTTTTTTTTTTTTTTTTTTGCAGCGAAAAAAGACATGAAAGATGAGACTGATGAAAGAATGCCACAGTTCAAGAAGAAGGCGAAAGAGCTCCGCATCTTGGATGCCAAGACAGCACAGAATCTTTGTAAGTATATACAGTTCTCCACCTTTTGATTATTTTGCAGCCAATAAGTACAGGTTTAAAACCATTAGTTCATGAAATACTACATTGTTTTTAACCATAATTATGTCAGTTATGTCATTGTTATTTTCCATGTCACCCCTGGCATTTTCACCCCCCATGAGCAGCTCAGGAAAGTTGTTTGTCGGGAAACAAATAGTACAAAGGCCTCAACATTGATAGTGTTTTACTGAGCTCTTTGGGGAAATGTTTTCTTGGCAGTTGTTTAGCGGTCACCACGAGTGCGTATAGATTTGTGTCCGAGCTTGCCATCTGTAATCATGTGTAAAGCAAATTTCAGCCAGAGCTGAGCACTAAAGCTACTTGTAGGTGCTTGAACTCCCAGGAGCCTGAGTGGACTAAATGTTTGTTGAGTGCATTTACCTCACCCTCCAAACCTCTTTGTTGTGGTGTGGTGGATGGAAATGTTTTTACTGCAGTCAGGTCAGGTCCAGATGATCTACAAAATTTGTTTCCCTATTTAGAATATCATTTGCACTCTTGATATTCCTTTCATCGGAAATACAGTGTAGATGATAACACCTCATGAAGTGTGCATGTTAAATGCCAAGATTACAGGTCATCCTCCTAACAGTCCCTACCCCACCTTCTGTGTTTTATTTTCAGTTTATCTTTTTTACTTTTCTCCATTTATAAAGGGTAACTACATTCTAAATTAGTTTTAGTTGTGCACACAGTCACATAGCATTTGCTGATATATTATGTCTATTAGGTCGGTTTTCCAGGAAAATTCATATTGCTTGTATAAAACAGCATTTTCTGGTCAAATGTACCAATTTGAAAGTTCAGTTCTGCCAAACCCTTTGACCCTTTGCTCATTGTGATGGCATAGACAAGACTCTGAGGTATATTTCATCAGTCCCCCACCCCTAACTCTCACCCCTTCCAGCTATCCCGATATCAGCCGAAAAACTAAAGTTATGTTGTATATGAATGAGATTTATTACTCAGCTGAGGCAGTAAACCCAACCTGCTGTTTTCAGAGCTTAACGATACATTAATGGCTGATGAACAGTAACTTTAACGTGATAAACAGCGGTGCTACATTACTGACGCCTCCCCAGATGAGAGAGATACACCGGGGGAGCCTCTCGTCTAGTAAACTCAGCTAGAACTCGGTACTGTATCCACGCCGTGGCTCTCGCAAAGCGATGTAATCATGCTTGTAGTGTCTGTCAGAGCTCCACCAGACTCCCTGTCTCTCCATCAGAAAAAAGGAAAGTCCAACAGCAGTGGCATAAGTGTAGATTGGAATGAGATATATTTATAGGTGGATTAATTGTGGGTGAGGATGGAAGGATGCTGGAATGTCTAAATAAACTGAAAGATGCACGCACATCAAAGACAAATCAACAATTTTTTGTGCCTCACAACCAGTTTCCTGTGAGCTGGTGAGATCTTCCATGAACACAGGCCAGATGAATGAGTACTGGGGTTTCATGTCAGGAAAGGGCATGTGGCATGAAAATAAGGATGACACATCCTGCATATAAAATTGTATGCGTGTATACATATGTGCTCATGTTTGCGAGTGTGCTAGTGTGTGCATGTCATTGCACTTGTGTTAGGACTGTGACAATTTTGATGTGTCACTGCCGTCTTTGATTACAACCCAAGCAGATGGGCGTTGAATTTAGCAGGAAGCAAAAATAAGTGTAGAAAGTCGCACCTCCGTAGTGGCAGTGAGTGGGAGGCATGTGGTCCTGCACAGCCACACAACTCCCCCGGGTCGCCTTGACACATGCAGTATCATAGATCATATTCACTGCCTGCCGTGGAGCCATCCAAGCTCCCTTTTCAAATTTGATGTGTGGTACTACTGAAGGTTCAGTGATTGGCTAAAATGAATGATTGTGATGTCAATTTATGTATTCAGGTACAATGATTATGCATGCCACTGTCTGATAAATTGCGTCTACCTCTCCGTGTGTCTAAAACCTACTTTCAGTTTTTACAATAAGCTGCAGGTGAGAGTTTGACTTGTGGCTATACCCCGTATAAAGAGAATTACAGTCATGAAATGAGATCAGATACAAGCGCGTAGAGTACTTTTTCTTTTAACTTAATCCACAATACAGAGGAGCGTATCTGGGCACATCAACAAGACCCCAGCACTTAATTTTTTAACTGTACAATTAAATTAGATCGGCTTATTTTATTGAATGCAGAGCTCAAATCAAGAACAATCCTACTTTAAAAATGCATTTAAATCATCAGCAATCAGTGAGCCATTTGTAGCCTTCAGAGGTTTTGTTGCTGGAGCAGGAGCTGGACTGGACATTTACATAGTTTTGCATAGTATAGGATGTAAGCATTTCCTTTCTTCAGTCAGTTCAGGAAATGATACTCCATAAGAAGTTAGGCCAGAAATGAAACCTCATAATAAATAGTCAAATGTTTAAAGCTAAAAGAGTAGCAGAAAACTTTCACTGTCTTCTTAAACTTGACAGAGATTTGCCTAGAATATACTGTAGGTAATGTAGAAATTAATATAGTGCAAATTCTTCTTTATTGTAGTGCGTATTAAATTTTCAGCAACTGGTTGCTGAATGCCAAAGCAATAGAAGCAAACTTAAAATAGGTTTATGTAATGTTTTGGGCAGGTCTACAACATATTCTTGTGTCAACTACCTCACACTCACAGTTGTGACACAGTAACTTCCCTGTGACTGAGATGGTACAAGTCAAAACAAATATGGCTATAAAGGAGGAAACCATTGTATTAAGGCCACGAAAACCATGTGAATTTGTTGTAGTGACTGTTGATCGTTGTTGGTCAGGAAGTCCCACTGTGCGCTGCCCGTTTGTGTACCTCCAAATACTAAAGCCACAAATATAGTTCGGTGCACCTGAGCAACATCTAAGATCTAATCCTGATATAAAGATGGTTTACTTTGTTTTGTTTTTCTAAAATGTGCTTCCAAATTTCATTGTGCTGCAGAATCTGCATCAACACACCTGCACCACTTTTCTCATCACCACCACACAGGTGCAGACTGTCCACCCCCAATACTGACACAGACCATACTACAAAATTAAAAATGCAAGTGCTACATGGCAGCAAAAGGTGCATTTTCAGCCTGTTACCTCATCTACATCCACTGAAGTCTGTAATTTACAGTATATCCTAGGATTACGTTTGACAGCTGAGCTCCAAGAGAATCTTGAGTCCAGCTGTTGGTTTCATATTAGGAGGATATAAGAGATAAAATAAGATAAGATAATCCTTTATTGTCATTGTAACAATAAAGGATTATCTTGTCTCACTATGAAACATACAGCATTTTGTCAGCAAACATTTTTTATTAACGACAGTGCAGGGTAATATCAAGCTAATAAAGAAAACATGGATATAGATTAGAGTATGAGACAAGACAGAACAACTTTCTCCTCAGTGTTATCAGAAGTCTGACATAGTGAAGCCTGAGAGGTCATTGTTAAGTGAACGCACCAGTATACATTATACCTGACATCAAGTGTATGTCATGACTTTGTAGCGAGTAAATGCAGTAAATAGGTTGTGTAATAAATACAAATCAACTGTGGAATAAAAAGATACACTACCCCTCCGTTTGTTGTGTGTCAAATACAGACATCAGGTCCCACTGTTGCAGCAATATAGCAGCTGTTGAGTGACTCTCTTCCAACTCATTACCAAACCTCCACCTGTGACTTCCACCTGGATACACCATCAGCTTCAATTTCCTCTGTAGGCACCCCACCTGGAGAGTGAAACACCCGCTAGGCTGTCCCCTGAGGCAAATTCTCTGTACTTGTTCATTTCCTCCTTAAACAAAACCATGAAGCCTTCCTAGACAACGATCATTAGAGTCCACAAGTACCATTGATTCTTATTGTTGTTCTATTTTTATTAACTGTTATGCAGAATTGCTATTACTTTAGCGCCCATCACTGTTACTGGTTAATTCTGATATTTTCCTTTCAAGTTTTGTCAGGATGACACAAACCTTCCTTTTGAGAGGTAGAAAGTGTATTAGTTTTTCCAAGTGACAAGTTAGGCCTGTGGTCATTTTGTCTGAGGAGCGATGAGTGCTGAAATGTCTCTTTGAACCCTGCGGTCTAATAAAAAAGGAGAGGAAATGACTCTCTTCTCTCTTCATCACAACAGCAATTTTCTTGGGCTCGTTCCGCCTGCCTTATGAAGAGATCCGGGACATTGTGCTGGAGGTAGACGAGGAAAGACTGAGTGAATCACTCATCCAGGTAAGACGGTTGTTCACTATGGTGCGTTAGTATTTTCATTCACACACAGACACACTTATTTTCGCCATCTTTAACAGTGTATGAGGAGAGAGAATTTTTTTTTCCAGCTTGGAGACCCTATTTTAACTTTGGTATGGTCTTTTTTTGGGCACAAGTCAGTCTCCTCATTCCAGCTGTCTTGTTGTCTTTTGTTTTGTTTTTATTTCAGCAGCACTTAGCACTTAGCATGTGAACTGTAGAGACCCCCTATTCATCCTGTCATAATGGATGATGAAGGACGAGGCTTGGCAAAGTCTCCCCAACTCCACCCTTTTTCTCTTGCCTTTGTCTTAAACCATGATTGATGAGCTTCCCAAAGGCTACTTGTTATTGCTCCCATTTCATTTCTGTTTTCTTGGTCTCAGAAAGCTTTAATTGAAAGCAGGGCAGGTGCATCTGAGGTAAAGGTGCATCACTGAGCTGAGCAAGTCTCAGTCTGTACTAATATTTCCTGAATTGTCCTTAAGCCAAGTATTCCAGCTGTCTTGTTATCTTTTGTTTTGTTTTTATTTCAGCAGCACTTAGCAGCAAATGTAAGATTTGATTTCAGTGTAATTTTAGGAGTGATGCACTGTTGTTGTGTGCATGAGTGTGTGCAAGTATGAAAGTGTTTTTGTTTTTGTTTTTGTTTTTCCAAGCAGCAGTGGGCATTGTTCAAGTACTGCTTTCAAGCTTAACCTGGAAGGTCTTTCCTCTCTTGGAAAAATATTAAATATAAACATTACCTTTATACTGATATACAGAATATGTCCTTTCCCACATGACTTATCAAGAAACATTTGTGCAGTAGCCTGCTTCCTCACCACTGCTTGGATCCCAGACACTAGTAAAAACTGGTGAGGCAATATATATTAAGATGGGGCCTATCTAGAGAGCTGCCCTGCAGGACTATTATTTTGAGCTCTGATAACCTTTAATTGGCTGGCAATCTGGCAGGAAGTACAGAGTGGATGTTATGAGATGGCAGGCCCTCCTCTTGTCTTGTGAAGGCGAAGAGAAGTAAAGATGTTGATCTCTTTCCATTTTCAGCCTTTCCATAGTAAATTAGAAACACTACATACAGTATGTGACCTTACTCCTAACTCCCAGGTGGGTGGCTGTGACCCCACCAGAGTCTTGCACACAGCTCCAGATAAATTGTTTGTACTGGTTTACAATAGTTTGACTGTGTTACAGGGAAATGAAGCACTGCTTAGCTCAAAGAAACAACTAACAACAAGTACAGCAGTGAAGCTGATCAGTGGTGTGGTGTATGGGCGAACACTTGAATAGCTGAAAGTCTGTCCAATTTCTCAGGGCTCTTAGGTTATCTCAAAGTCACTGACATGGCACTGAACTGATATACTGATAAAGACTTTACAAATAATGGACAAACCAGACCAAACACAGGCAGGAAAAATAACTACACGTCCATTCTCAGATTTTTGTCGGAGATGCAGTTCCTATGATACAGATACCTTCTGTAACCTTCATGTTCCTTTTGTTCATCAGTGATGTTAAGGACTTGGCAGGTCAGGGATAAGAGAAAGTGATGTTTTTGTTTGCCTGTACAAGCAGCTAGTCACCCATTTCAAGATGGCTTTCCGTTATCCCCGTTAGCTCGTCTGTTTTCCTCTTTAATAAATTTGAACCAGGACAGCGAGGCCGCTAACAAAAAAAGCAGGCTCAAAAGACTCATGAGCCCTAGTATGTGAGTTAGCATAAGCATCGGGGAGCCAAGCCAATGTCACAAAGTCCAGGGGGAGGCAGGAGGACCAACTGAGTTAACTTATCGGTGCAGAAGGAGCCCACATCTGGCAAGTCACTGCTGGTTTGGATAATGATACTAGAGACAGAGTAAAGCCTGGACATGACAGTTGGTGCAGTGCACTTAAGAAAAATGTTTATTTATACCATTTCTGTGTTTTTCCCTTCTTTGTGTGGAGTGCTTGGCTCTACTATCCAGAATTATTCAATTTTCCTCCAGTGACCTGCAGCATGTCTCCATAATATTTTATGTACAGCAGTAAGTAACACTCATTAGTATGGCCTAATGAACGTCACAAACATTTCCTGCTGTATCAATAGTTACAATTATACAATTGTACTTATTCGCTTACTAATATTTACAATATTTGAGTATTTACAATGAGTGGCTCACTCTTCAGAAATGTTCTCCTTTTATTCTCCTTTTAATTTGTCTATGAATCTGTAAAGAACATTGCACTAAACCAAAGACAAAAAATGTGAAGCTTGGATGCATATAACCAAATCCTGCACACCCCAGTCAGCAGTAGTGGAAGAAGTACTAAGATCCTTTACTTAAGTAAAAGTAGCAACGCAAGTGTAAAAATACTCTGTTACAAGTGAAAGTCCTTCATTCAAAATGTAGTAAAAGTACAAGTAAATTAATAAATGTAGTTAGTTACTTTCCACCTCTGCCAGTCAGTGAGTTGTTTCCTTTTATTTACAGTAGTTCAAATTGTCACACATTAGCGAAGTGGAAAAACACATAGATGTTTTGACTATTCTTCAAAACATACTGATTACACACTAATACCTTATTATGTCATGTTTGTCATTGTGTTTAAATATATTCATATGTACTACTTGAGTCAATATTACTGAGATGGCACTTACGTATATATGGATGTGTTTCCTCTTTGTGCATATTTCTCAGCAATATCAGTCAGTTAGTCTCTGTGTTCCTTAGCCTTCCTGTCTATGGCATGTTATTTTCCAAAGTATTCAACCTAAGTTAGTCTCTGTGTTCCTTAGTCTTCCTGTCTATAGCATGTTATTTTCCAAAGTATTCAACCTTTACTCAGACTTTTTATGCCACATAGTTGCCAAGGTGGTTTTTGCTTCTCATGAAAAAAAAAACCCTGTTTGTCTATTTGTGTTTGATGAATAGTACAATTTGCTCCTGTTTTTTTTTCCTGAATATACAATGTATTGTGTGCTGTATCATTTGGCAAGTCACAGAAGCCATCTTTATTTATATGAAGACATCACTGATTGTATAGCTACTCAGATAATCTTCCTGTGAAATAAGACTCAGGTGATTATAGAACAAAGTCATGCAGAAATGAGCTCACAGATTTAACAAGGAAGCAAGTGGCATATGCCCATGAAATACAGCCAGAGCTATACAGGGGCAGTGAAGGAGAGCAAAGAGACTTCCTGCTGGGTGACACAGTCCTGAGTGTGGGCTCCATCTGCACACTGCTCATATACACTCATTATGCTGATTAATCACTTTACACCACCCACTTTCAGCCACACGCCAATCATTAATTATCCACATGGACAACTATACACACACACACACACACACACACACACACACAGACACAGAGCAGAAAGATGCGTAAGTATGGTTTGGGCAATAACAAAAGGAAATGTATTTACCATTTTGCTAGTGTGGGTGAGAGTGCACAGCTACAATAAAAGTAAAAAAAATGCTATTGCAACAGTGAAAGACAGAAAAGAAAGAACAAATGATACTTATTTGAATAAAGGGTGTGCACGCATGCGTACACACACACACACACACACACACCACCTGTTGGTGTTCCTATCTGTTTTTGGCAGTTCCTCAAAGCTCCTCTATTCATGGACACTGATGAGGAGCTGTGGTAAACAGTGACCCAGCTTTAACTTGAGTCAAGAATAAAACATTACATAAAACACTACAAAATTCAGTTTGGTTCAAAATTCTTCTGCCAGTACCAGTGACAAGCAAGCAGGGAGTTGATAAATGGATAGAATAGTGAAAATGGAGCATCTAAAACTCTGCAACTTAATTTTACTATCTTCCTTTTCCATTGACATGTCTAATGTAGTGATTTATCAGCAGTGGTGTGGTGCACTGGCCTTGAAGTACCCCCACAACATGTCTCCCTGGCAGAGTGGATAGATAAAAGTTGATTGACCCTCCTTATTCTGTATTAGGGCCCATCAATGCCTCAGAGATGATGTACACATCCCTGAATGCTGGCAGACAGTCCTAGCTCTCACCATTCATCCAGGTTCAATATGAATCCTCACAATTCAACACTTTATTTAATCTTCCTGCACCCAGCAGACAAACATACATAGACTATATGCAAATGGATAGACAGTGTCAGGTATCCCCTCTGTCTTCTAGTCCCTGTTCAGTTGTGTCATTTATCAGATAAATGTCCAAACCAGTAAATGTAAGGTCTTTGCACATGTGCAAACACATGCAGGTTTGCATGCAATCTATCCTGCTCTCACTCTTTCTTCCTCCATCTCATTTGCCTACAGTATTCATAGTGCCGGTGGACAGAGGTCACTTTTGTATATTAGGTCAGCTTAATCAAATTCAGAAAGACATCAGGGCCACCCCTCTACTATACCCTGTATAACAATGAGATGAAGAGGACAATGAAAGACAATAATGAACGTTGGCTCAGTGAAAACAGATTGAGCCCCAGAAAGCTTGGCAAAGCTCTGCTTTTAAAGGGCTGACAGCCTGACAAAGCTATTCATTGCTATTGTTGGCTGACAACAGAAGCAGCAAGGGAAGAGTCCTGTAGACCTTGTTTGTGTTGGAAAGAGTATGTGCTCATGGTTTCGGGGGCCTGGTTGCATTGTGTTTGGCATCTTCTCCCTCACATGCATTGTTTAAATTGTGACGTCGCTGTGCCCATGACCTTGCTTCTGTTGACTTCAGTTGGCTCTCCTTAGGTGTTTTAATTTCTCCAGAAGTCCCTCACAGCCTGTTTGCCCCTGAGATAGAGTTTAACTGGCATAATGATGGTATTTGGTCCCATGCCTCTACACTTCTTGCCAATGGAACACGAGGAGGCCAAACAGTGCCCAGATTATTAATAAGCATTGGTAAACTTGAATAGTTTGTGGTGTAATCAACTGGTACACATGTAGGGGGTTGCTCATAATACTTCAGTGGCAGGGTTACTGTAGTGTAACAAGTAAATAAGAGCATAATTACATAG